TGATTGATGAACGAGAACTCCCCAGAACCCCCATTTTACCATTTTTTAGGGGCGGGGGGGGGGCCTGAAGTTTCTTTTTCCACGTGACGCAGGCTGAAAAGAAGCCACCTCCACAGCAGCCCAAGGTGAACAAGGCCATCATAGACACTTGGAAGCAATTTTGTGGTATCCACTCTTCGCGCGTAGCACGGCCACTGTATTTGGCTGAAGGGGTTGGTAGCGTTGGTCTTGTTCATCCATGTGACTCCAAAGATGCTTACGGTGACCCTTTTGGTTGTTTCTTGGCCTCAAGTGGAAGGACCAAGGGTTCGGCTGCATTCATCGGTACATGACCAGGGTCCACTTGATACATGCGCAGTTTGTTGGTTCGGTGCATGTGTTCGTTCTTAGAGGAGGTCACTTAAACACCTGCTTTTCTACACAAGCCAATGCTGTCGCTTCACAGAGCGCCTGTCACCTGGATGCCGTGTATGAATCGCTCGAAGGCACCAATTCGTGGGCAGATGTGGGGCCATCAGGGCCAAATTGAGCACCAAAGGGTAACCAACCATGTTTATCGGATAATTCAGGGATACTAGGTGTTCATAATTATATCATAGAAACATATTGTAATAACATATATATATATATACACATACATATCAGATCCCCATGTGCAGGCGTTTGCAGGAAATACAGTGCATCAACGTGCGTTCATGATTCATCAAAGCTTTCTATCTTCAGTTGAGATGGTGTAACATCATTGATAGCTTGTGAAGTGTTTGCTGGACAGTTCAGAATCCTGTCCCCAGTCGGTTCGGTGCAACACAACTCATCCTGTGCTCGGGAACTGCACGCTGCTTTGGACCTTGTGCCATGGAGTTCACTCCATAAAGTGACACCCTGTGCAAAGTGATACCTCTTATATAGAACCCCAAGTAATTAGATACTTTAAACAAAGTAATTATATTGGAAACCGTGTCACTACTGTATTTGTTCGGGGACCCCCTCAGGGACCGTGTGTGATCTATTCGTTGTTTCAGTGATACCGAGGAGGAGGATTCTCTAAAGGAGCCCGACGAGGTGAAGGTGCAGGAGGATCAGCTTCTCACCGAAAGGGAGGAGCCTCTTGGTCAAAGAGATGGATGGAACAGTCGTTGTTTGGCCAAGCGATTTGAGGCTTCGAAGATCTTTTTTTGGCACCCCAAAAGCACATGTTTGGGCGAAAGCTTCCCATTTGGGCATACACATGGTATGACCATTTGCATGATTTGGTGGTTCTCCGCACATGTTTGCTTCGAGTCGCTTTGGCGACCACCTTACTAAAAACAATCTATGCCTATGCCGTTGTGGAGCATGTTTCTTCAGGTTCCACCGACCCTCGTAGGCCGATTGCCGCGACTTGGCGGCCTCGTTGTCTCAGGTTCATCTGCAAAATTTGCCAGATCCACGTGGTGGGATGCCGACCGAAGTTGACGAGCTGTTCTCACCTTTTCTGCCGCCCAACCGCATCACAGGGATTTGGGCTCGACCGGAAAATGTAGAGATGTTCAACTGCAACCCCCACGTTCGCTAGAACTTTCCATATATTTGTCAGTTGTCCAGTGATATTGGGAGCGTGTCATTTTTGTTGCATTTGTTCATAGCTGTTTTGGTCAGACGTGATATAGATGCGGTACATTTGTGATTTGTCAGCTGCACAGCTATATCCGAGGTGGAGATTGCATTTGGCAGTGGTTCAACCAGCATCCGGACACGCAGACTTGGGCTCAGCGAGTGTCATGGCGAGTGTTAGACGCAAGCGAGTGCCAGTCAGTCAGCGAACGTGACTTGATAAGGCTCAAAAAACATATAAATCAATAAGCCAACATAAGCCAACTAGAAATCACATGTTTCTGATGGATTATGGTGGGATGTCGAAGGGTGGGGTGTTACCTCAGAAAGAGCTTCCAAGGGCGTCATGAGGTCAGCTTGGTTGATCCTAGAAGTTGCCCAGCCCAAAGGGCGAGGGCGCGGGAGGTCCTGATGTGAATTCTTGGTCGGCTTTCTGATTTCAGAAAGTTTTAAGATGTTTTAAGAAAAACATGATTTCAGACATGTTCAGTTCAAGATGTTCAAGAGTCTTCATGATGTGTTATGTGACCTTGAGGCCAAAGCAGCAGGTCCTGATCGATGTGTTCCCTGTCCAGTTTGCAAGAAGAGTTTGAACGAGAATCAGGATTTGGTCTCCGCCCCTTGGTTCGCATACCTGTTCGGTGGACCCAAGGTTAGAGGGTCAGTTGGAGGGTTTATTATGTTTGCTTATTTGATCTTTTTTGGAGTGCCCATACCGGTACAGATTCACAAGACCAGCGGATTCACTGATTTGCATGCTTCACTGATTTTACGTGGAAAAGGAGACAAACGCAGACTGAAAGATCTTTGGCAGTGGCTCACTTGCGAACGACACGACGTCGAACGTCCCAAGGTCTCTTCCGACACCCAGAGGGGCCACTGTGCTGCAGCTGAGAAGATGAGAAGCACAGAGAATGCTTTTGAATAGACTCAACACCGCGATACGACAGACATAGTGACAGACTCATATTTTGTTCGTTCAATTGGGGCCTCCCTGGGGATCTACTGACCATCTCAGCGGGCGCTTTCAAGTGGGACCGTCTCAGCGATTAAGAACGAAACATTTTGTGAACTTGAATGGGTCCTCGCACAGTTTGGGGTTGCCATAGTAATACTATATAATCAGGTTTACAGATGATATGATAGTCCTGCAGGAATTGGACGTGAAGATTTATATGGCTCGCATCTTGTGAATTGCAGTTGTTTGAACTCCTTGGCATGGAATTGAGGCGAGAACGTCCTGCTGTGGAGAATGCTATCTGGTTTGCGAATCATGTGCATTAACAATCCCAAGTTGCGGAAAGAAGATGGGAAGTGCGACTGGATCGGCGAATATGGCACCTATCAGAAGCACTATGAGGTGTGCAAGAATGCCACTCGTCCCGGAGAATGGTCCTGTTGTAAAGATGGACCCAAGAAGCACCTGCGTTTGACAGCAGCCCTTATCTTGCCAAAGTCCCCATCCAATGACTTGTTCACAGAAATACGGGCCATGCCAAAATCGGAATCAGACTCTGCTAGTCAGTCGCCCACAGAGGCCTGTTCTTGAAAAAGAAATGGACAGTCAATGTGAATCAAATGCCTTGGAGTGAGCGCGCCTGTGGAAGACGTTTCGTGATCCCCCTCCCTATTTTTATAAACTAAAAAGACGCACATCAGACTTCCTCAATCTTTCTCACAACGTCTGCATTTATTTTGCAATTGTGTTTTCTCTTTTATTTCGCTGCAGCTTCCGGCTCCGGCGTCGATGAGGTGCCTTTAGCCGATGCGGACTATCCGCCGGAGACGCCCACCCCGCAGAAGCTCCCGGCGCCCGAGAAACTCCCGGCGCCAACGCCGGCGCCACCCGCGAAGCAGGTGTCGAAGGCGACGCCGCCGGTGGCGCCCAAGAAGTCTCCGAAGATCGCACCGAAGGTGCCGGACGGGGGAGGAAAGGGTCGGAAGAAGAAACCACCAACCCTTCAGAACGTACCAGTGAGGCTCTATGTAGAAAAAGGATGGGAACATACCGAACCAGTGAGGTAAGGTTCCAATGTCCCGGTTGATCTTGGAGTGAACTTGGAGCACATGAGGCCTCACATATTGACACATGAGTGATGTGGCTGGATGATGTGGATAGGATGGAAAGATGGGGAGGGCTTTCTTGGGAGCGCAGATGCTGCAGATGACTAAGTTGGGAGGCACACAACGACATCAAAGGAGCGAGGACAATGGCCCAAGCAATGATTTGGTTGGAACTGGTGGAAGAAGCTACGAACGGAGCAAGAAGCTACGAAGGTAGCTCCTGGCATTGCTACTAGGAACACTCCTATAGTAGCAATGCCTTTGTTACGTTCGTAGCTTCTCGCTACGAGTAGCAATGCCAGGAGCTACGTTCGTAGCTTCTTGCTCCGTTCGTGGCGATGCCTAACTTACGTTCGTAGCTTGGCCTTGACATGCCTTGACCTGACCTTTCCGGAGCCAGGCGATGACCTCCTTACCGAAGGCCTCGGCGCCGAACGTCGCCGCGCAGCCCATGGCCCAGCCCATTGCCACCGCGCCGCCCGCGGTCGCGCCGGTGGCGCCGGTGGCGCCGGCACCGCAGGCAGCGCCCACGGCGCCACCGGTGGTGAGAGCAGAGGAGAGGAGGGAACCGCCACAGCCGCAGATGCCTCAGTGCCTTGGTGGGCAGGTTTTTGACTCGCTCGACTTGCACGGTTTTGGCGAGCAGCTTTCTGGTGGCACTGGGTGTTCCACAAGAGAAGACTTAAAATCATTTAAACATGTCGTGGGTTCCGCCTCGTCCGGATGAGGCCTCAGCTGCCAGCACCGCAGCAGTGCCCGGTAGCGCCGCAGGTCGCCCCTGTAGCACCACAGGTCCAGGTCCAGCCGCAAGTACAGCCACTGGTGCAGCGCAGGGAAGAAGCCCCAGCTGCACCAGCCGCGGCAGCACCTGCAGCTCAAGCATCAGGTTATCAAGGAGCAGGGTGCGTTTTGGGTTTCTCATTTCTCATGAAAAACCGATCAGAGATGATCAGAGCATACGAGTGAGCAAGCAAACTTGGGTGATTGTATATACAACCACAACCTCCAACAACCAACCTGCAACAATATATGATTGACCTTTTGGTTTCATGTGAGTCAGTATGTCCGGTCCTAGGTGCCTCCGACCGTCGGTCCCTGCGCCAGGACGTGCCTGCGGGAACTTCGAGGCCACCGGTCCCACGATGGTCCCCGTGCGACAAGGTGATTTGATCGAAGTCCTTGAAACGCACCCCACAGGCGGGGCCAGGAGAATCTCGGAGAACATGATGGTTCAACAATGACATTGACTTGCTGCTACGAAGACCGTGTTGAGAGAGAGATGTGTTTGATGTTCTCCATGTCCAGTTTGCACTTGCCTGTAGAGGTTATTGAACAAAAACATATAAGAACATCCATGCAACCTCATTGAGAGATGAGAAACCATGTGGGATGCCTGGGCGTCCAAACTGGGAGTTGACATGGGGTGACCGGTGAACATGAACAGAATAGATGAGCAGCCAGGTGAACCTGCCAGGGTTTGCAGGTGCTTTTTCTTTTGACAGGCAGCCGTTTTACAATCCATGTTTTGTGAGGATATATTTCTGAAGATTCTACCTGATCGCATTGCTTTTGTGCTCTTGTGTTGGTGTTTCCTCCCACAGGCTGGAGCTACGCGAAGAACCTGTCGAACAGCGGTCACTGAGCCCCCAACAGCGGTCATGGGTGGGGTTCCGGGTGGGCGACTGAAGAAGGGGAGATGAGGAAGTTTCAGAGGAATCCGACATCATGTCACTGATGGTCTCAAAATCTGAGAGTAACATGAAAGGATGTTTAAGATATGTTAAAGGAATCGCTCCAAAGATTGTAAAGAGGACATGTATTGTAGGAAGTCTATGCATAGAGACTTTATGAGACTGTCCTTTGTACAACTCCGACGTGTTAATCTAATTCTCAGATGCTTGTTTCGAAGTTTTGTTAGCTAGTGCTTGCCCCATGACTGCAATTCCAAGAGTCATCGAGATCTTGCAAAAAGAAGAACTGAACTGAACTCAGCAAGATCTTGCAAAATCTTGCAAAAAGAAGCTGCGCTTAAAAGCTCAATGCCCCACCGGGTGCCGCCGCAAAGACCAAGGCACCCCACCCGGATGGGTTCCCTCATGGATCGTTGATGCCAGTGCCAGAGCGAAAGAGACGCTGCTCGGCTTTGTATATATTATGATGTCGAAATGACACAACAATCCGTGGAAATACCCTCCCACAAAGTTTCCTTACACTTTATGGATCGAAGAGAATTGAGAACATCACATCAGGAAATGGCTAGAAGAATTCATAGTAATTAGTAATTAGTAATTAGGTCTAATTTATAGACTAGATAGAGAGAAGAATCAATTCTGGGCTGCAACTGTAGACTTGATCATGTCCGGTTGCTTGATTACCCCGCTCGAGTGAGGATACTGCTCCCCCGTCCCCCAAAGGGTCGTAACAGCTGGTCGAAATCAAGCGAAGTATATGAAATAAGATCTAAATTGCAACCATCCCATTCCGGCCCTTGTTCTATGAATCCTAGAGGCGTGAGACGCAAAAATATCCGAAAAAGACGTACAGGACCGACCGCCATTCCTGCCGTGCTCGAATCGCCTGTTTGTATCATGCTGTTTGAGCCTGGAACAGGAAGGGCAATCTTATTAATATGTTATCCGACTGTTCTCCTGGTACTGGAAAAAGTTGTGTGGCACTGGAGATGCTCGCTGTTGACGCCCAGGGTGGATGCCAGAACGGATCCGATCAGCAAGCAGATCATTGTGCCACATGGATCAACATGGTCGTCGCGAGCAATGATCGAACAACTCCCCCTACAAATGATGAATGGGCACTGAGGATCCAGGGGCGCAGATTGAACATTCAATCACATGATGAAAACCACCATGCACTTGCTTGGGTGGATTTATATACATGCCTCAAACCAACTTGATTTTTTGTTTTCCCTGTATGAACGTCTTACGTTCAACTTTGAAGCCGGCATGTCCACAAGGTTTCTCTTTGGGGTTGACAGGCGCCTATACATGGTCAAGTCCAAATTCCTTTTGGGGCCTCTCCAGCAATCCACAGACCTACAAGTTCACTACTGGCTGAGCACGCGCACTGAAGCAAATGCTGCGCTGAAGACTCAGGCAGACCCGGGACAGAGATCAGGACGTCCGGCCCACTGCCGTACAACCTGCAGCACCCGCACCGCAGCCAGTTCATGCATCGCCGGCGCCAGTGCGTGCACAAGCACAGCTGGTGCAAGCTGCTAGAGATTTCGCTTCAGGCCAAACACGGGAGTTGTTGGACGCAGGTGCTGCATTACTTGGTGTAGCAGTTGATGATGTTGATGCAATCAAAACGTGTCTCTAAAACTCGTCCATCACAAGCCTCCAAGAAGAGCAAGACTTTTGGTGGGTGCCATATATACTTATATAATACTTGCAGTGAGAAGCGTCTTGTTTGCTGAAACATCCCCAATCCGAACTCTCTCCCTTTCTTGGGGCAGGCAGTGATTCTCAGATGTCGTTATCGGCCAGCGATTATGTGGAGATTGTCGAGCGCCACCAGCCGCTCGACGCAGACAACGCATGTGGACAACTGAGCTTAGTTCACGACTCGATGTTTGAGGCTGGAACTGACTACTAGGGGCTCCTGGCTTACTGCTAGGAGCAAGGACGCTACTAGGGGCTCCTGGCCTTACTACTGGGAGCAAGGAGGCTACTAGGGGCTCCTGGCTTACTACTAGGAGCAAGGACGCTACTAGGGGCTCCTGGCCTTACTACTAGGAGCAAGGACGCTACTAGGGGCTCCTGGCCTTACTACTGGGAGCAAGGAGGCTACTAGGGGCTTCTGGCTTACTACTAGTAAAATAGTAAAATCATTAATATCCCTCGCCATCAGCACCATCCGCTTGGGCCAAGGTCTGGATGGACCTTCGGTCGCAAGATGGTAGGTGGCATGTCCGTCTCCGAGGGCTGGTTCCCTGATTGGGCCTGCGCCCTTGGCTGCACCGCGCGGGTTCTTTACTCGGGAAAGATCTGATGGGGCGTTCTACTCGGTAGAAGCCATGGTGAGGTGTTGTTTCATTGCATATTTTTGATGTTTAGTTTGACTCACTGGATATGCAGAGTGGCTCGCCAAAAACCTTCCGCAAGCTCCACGATCAGGCAACCCATGATGCAGCAGCTGGCACGGCAAGATTTCAAGTCTGACTCGACCAAAAACCAACTGATGCGTCAGAAGCATCGCACCTGTGGTTAAAAGCACTCAGCCGGCTCAGCCACCAGCATAGCCAGCATAGCTGTGTCGCACTGACCAATACACAAGAGGTGCACTTGCACTTAATTTGCGTTGGTTTTGTGGCTACTAGTTCCTTTTGCCATGGGAACTTCAGTTTGCCATGGCTTTTCTGTTCGCCATAGCTATGGCCTCATTCATTGCGTCAGACATTACCATGCCGCCAGATTCTGAAAAAAAAAGACGCGTGCGCGCCCGTATCTTCGACATAAGAGTGTCGTGTTGGGAAAGGTTCGTTGCAAGTTGGTGCCTTGAGGTGCCTGGGCCAACTAAGACCCTGGCTGAACTGTGAGCTAAGATCTTGCTCGTCTCTCCTTGCACCTCAGACCTTGCCCATTGCGCCCCCACGTGCCTTCACTGCCAGCCGAAGACCGGAGGCGTTGATCGGAGCGCCTCGCCTGAGTGCGAACTGGGCGCGTGACGAAGACGAAGTCACCGTGGCATTGGTTGTGAAGTAGTGAGTATAGGTTGAGCATTGAGAGCATTGTGCTTTTAATGTTCCTTTTGGCGGGTTGTGAAGTCTGAAAACTGCTTGTGCCGTGGTGTTGTTTTCCGGATGCGAAAGCGGCCTCTATTGCTGCGCGCAGCAGGGAGGTCGAAATGAGACGCAGAGAGGCAAAAGATGCGAAGACTGAGGACATGTGGAGATGTGGTAAAATAATGGTGATGGACATTCCAAACCACCACTGACACTCATCAATAAGATAGGGGCAAACGTGGGAGGCTGCGATGCTGGTGACTGTTGAATATTCTTGATTCTTGACGCACATTGGTTTTGTTGAGGTGTCACCTGAACATGGAGCACCCGCGGTACGATTTGTCTTGACATGTGTGCAAATAGAGGTTACTAAACAGACTCCAATTCAATTGTCCCCATCCTCAGAAGGTCTTTGGACCCTCTAAACACCTTCTACTAAGAAGGTACTTGGAGCCCTAGGGTGTATAATTGGTTGTGTGTTCAGACATGTCAGGTCTCCGATCGTACCCACGCCAGGGCCCCACGCCGAGGAGGAGCGGAACGGCCGAGGGGGGACGGTGTCCATGTGGCACATCGAGCTCGTGGCACATGGTGTGGCATGTATGATGTGGGCGTGGATGGAGCCCGTGGCAGACTGGCCCTGCCAAAATTGGAAGATGTACGGAAGGTCATCGCTGCACCCAGAGGGAAGGAAAGCAGAAAACAACGCCCGGGGGGAGGCATGAGACTATATATTGACATAGACCTCGAGGACGTGAGCACCGCCCAGGGTGCAACAAATCAATGGGCAAGCTAGCACTCGCCCAGTGCAGTGCAACGAACAATCCCCGCAAAAACAACCACCATGGTTGATTTCCATGTTCTTATTATTTCTTCATGCTTTTCCGGACCATTTTGTAAGGTTTCGTTTAGAGTGGCTGCTATGGATACCAGCTTGGTCCACCGGAGAGGGAAACAAAAAACAGCACCGATCGCGAGGCCTCCGTCCGACCGCGTGGGCGGGTGCTTTCTCCACCGAGGCCTTGGAAGGCGGCAACGGACCAGTGGAGCGAAGGAATTTCAGTCCAATTCAATCCTTCCTGGTTCGGCGTTGGTCGTTTTGGAGGATGATCCTTCTATATCCTTCTATTCAATCCTTCATGGAATCAAATCCTTAAAGCCTTAAGGTCGTCTTGGATGATGTTGACCTTTCTTCGATCTTTTGTTCGGTTTTCTTTGAGAGACCTTGGTCTATCTCTCTGCGCCTGGAGCCGTCCCGCGCCCGCAGATGAAGAGACTCGGCAGCGGAAGCAAAAGACACCGGCCATATGGATGCCACTGCCACATGAAGTGCCGATGCAGCAGCCGCAACTGCACAGCACTGTGGAGGCTCGGCTGCGCTGAGCTGCTCGGTGCTGGAAGGGGCGCTGAGCTAGCACCTGGTGGAGGTGAGCGGTGAACGCGGTGAAGCTGATGGCATGGACCTGACTGGAAGACTATTTCCCTCATTTTCACTCTACAAACCCGTGGTCCAGAGGGTACCACCAAACGATGCCCCTGGTGCGGAAGGGGAACGCCTGGAGGAATGCGCAGGCAGATGAAGAACATGGCATGTCAAGCCGCGCGTCCAGTTTTGAGAACAATTCGCACAATACCAGAGGCTTTCCTTTGAACGCTTTCGAAGTGGCCTCTCCGGCAGGCGTTAAGCCAGAGCCCCCCACATCCCTTCTATGTATAAATATATAAAGTTTATATATAGATATATAGTCGTTTGTTTAGAAGGGCTACTGGATCAGGTGTTGAGCGATGAAATGCTTTAGTTTGTTCACCGTCTTGCTTCGCAGTTGCTTGAAGCTGAGCTGCAGCCACGGAGCTGGAGAGGAGTTCGTTCTTGCGCCGCGTTGAGGTAGATCGCGCAGAAGTGGCTGGTAGCGCAACTAGAGGCTTCTAGTAGTGGAAATGAGGCATTGGCACCCTAATTCAATTCCAATGAGGATGTCCAAGTCTTACTTGTATTGGAAAGAAACCCGTTGGGTTGTTGGTTGCTGGACCTGATTTGTTCTTGCCGGTGCGATCGAACACATTGCACGTGATTCTAGAAAAAGACATGGGATGAGGGGAATGAATTGCATGACGAAGTGGACAAAACCTTGAAAGGGCGGGTGAAGATGTCTGAAACTGGTCGCTGCTAATGTCGCAGCTAATGCCGGGTGAAATTGACCCTTCCCTCCATTCGAAGTGGTCCCAACATGTCCCAACCCCTCCTCAGTCCAAGAACATCCTTTTCCAATTCGTTGCCACGCCATTCGCTTCCCTTAAGCTTGTTACTGCTAGTAGCTTCTTGCTACGTTCGTTAGCTCCAGCCGGAGAACCGGAGCTATCCGTAGTGCGTTCCATGACGACGAGGAGCGCCGAAAAAGACACGCGGCCAAGAACCCCGAGGCCATGAGGTGCCTCACTCAGACGTCGGGAGACAGGACCAGACCAGAGACCGGAGATGTTTGTGAGTCATGCGGTGGGTTTTCGTTCGCTTCTGGGTTGCTGAACAGCAGACAGAGACGAGTGGTTTAGCTGGTGAATACCAGGTGTGGCTCTTTACAAAGACATTTTATTTTAAGGCACGCGATTGGGTCATAGAAGTTCTGTCCGATGCCACTGTCGGGGCAGCAGCCCGGTGTAGCGCAGGCCAAGGCGGCGAAGAAGGAGCAGCAGACGGCGGAACTGCCATCGGACTTGATCCTGTGGCCTGTCTTCATGGCAGTTCAGGGCCATTACACCAGGGCAGGGGCCCACCTGTGTCTTTCAGACGGGATCCACCTCAAAGTCACTTTGAGGGTTAGGATGGGCATAATCAAGGTATATAATTCTAATTGACATATAATACAAATCAACCTCCAGACTCTACACTCCTACACAAGTTTTTTGCAGTTCCTCACCTTGTGTTGCCTTTTTCCGGTGCGGGACGAGCTACGTGGGGTTAAGACCTAGGAAATGACTCGCGCCGGCTTTGCACTGGATGGTGTTATTTTTTTTTCTCTGATTTAGGCTTTGGTGCAGCACCTCAACTCTTGAAATGACTGCATTGTCCATGACCGCATTGGGTCCTTGTTTCAGTTTTGTGAATAGATTTCAATTCGCTCAGCTTGAAACTTCCAACACATGCAAATATCGTTTGGCCCATTATGGTGTGGTTGCTTGTTTTTTTTTGTGTGTTTTTGCATGTTACGTTTGTGTCGAAAGAACTTCTCGCTGTACTATGTTTGTAAATATTATTCGCAGAACTTACCCTTTGTTTAGTGAAGTGGGATATAGTGGGATTGTGTATATTGGGATCCCTTCGACTTTTTGGCAAAGCAGGGGTTGAACAACTGCTCATACGCAAAACGCATTGTTTGCATGATTGTGTGTATACACTTCAAGAAGGCCAAAATTCATACAGTTGTGCCAGTAGTTGTGCCTTTTGGGAACATGTGACATGTCACCTTTCGGTTTACCTACCTAATGCCTTCATTATGTTGGTAACCCCGAACTATGTCGGAGCTGAGGGGACCTTGTATTGAACTGACCATGTGTTGCTGGCCTTACCATCGCCGATCATGATTCATTGCTCCACTCCCCGCCCCCGAAAAAGAACAAAAAACATTGAGGTGAGCAAAGAACAACATGCCAAAGCCATCAGGGAGATTCCGGGAGGGAAGGGGCTGTGTTGTCTTTAAACATTGTTCTCTCCTGCTGTCAGGACAGATTGTGATTGAGGCCAGCCCCTTCTCGAAGAGAAGTGGACAGTGGGACCGTGCATGGTGGCCAGATGGCCGGCACAGCGCGTTGGGGCGCGATGAATTCAAGAGAGTGGTCGCAGCTGATGCAGATACGGCAGGTGCTGCAAAACACGGAGGTTTTGAAGACAGAGGCTCATCTCAAGATGCAATCATAAAATCCTACCATACAACAAGACACTCTTGAGAATGTATGAGCCAACATTGGTTAAGACGCTATTGACCATCGCAAGTAGGTTGGAGGCAATCGCTACGAGTAAGAAGCTACGAACGTAGCAAGGAGCCAACAGTGGTTAAGACAGACAACCTGTTGTGATGATATCTTGATGGCATCAGAGGCTGCAGGAGGCGAATTCGTGGCTGCACGGATCCGGCAGGCACGTGCGGTTTTCTGCTTCGGTCGGACTCGAAGCGTTTACAATGGCCAGATGGTAGAGGTGCAGGGTTGTTTCAGTGTATTCAATGGTATTGACCGATTGGGCCTCGATCCTTAGGTGCAGAGTTCGGTGCACGAACCTAGAGGTGAGACAACAGATGTCGGTGCATCCGAAGATCAGTGAAAGTGTCACTTTGACTCACTAACATGGAAGTGGATGGCATGACATGGTCCCTTGGAAGACTGCTTTCCTTTTCGAGCAGGGGGGCGTCCACTTCCATGTTAGTGAGTCGGAGTGTTAATAGACATATTGCCATGCCGACCTGGGGCCAAACATCAGTTCTGGTCCGGGCAGCCAGCATGTTGCTCCGTTTTTTTCGTGGAATTCCTGTTGGAAGAAAAGGATGCGGGGAAGTGACGTTGGACTTCAGTTGGAATCCGGGAACTTGATCGGTGACTTATATAGAAGTTCTCATAATCGAATCATGCGGCTCTTTTCTGCACAACTTTGCGCCGGACACTTAGAACTTTAACGTTTTACGTGGAGCATGCATAGTTTCCCTCACACCCGGGCACTTGCCATGGATCATTACTAGTTTTGCGTGGTTTTCGCACGTGTGTGTTCAGTGATTGGCTTTCATTTGGACAACGTTCAACCGGTTCAACTGGACCACTTGTGATGCCTCGGAGAAGACGTCGATGCCCAGAACGCGGAGAGCGGCTCGAGCGCTCCGAGAGAGCCGTTCGTGAAATCGCTTTCTGCAGCGACCAGTCCATGCCAAGAATCAACCCCAGACGCTCCATGTATGCCATATATGCCTACATTGGGGTGGTTTGGGGGGTCAATGTAGGCATATATATGCATATATATATAATATATATATATATATGCCATACATGGAGTGTATGGGAACAGGAGAACATCGATGTGGCTCAGCAACAACAAACATATCAAAAATATATCGAACATACTCGAACAGCGCCGCTCCTACCCACCGGAGCACCAGTTCCAGTCTCTAGTCTGGCTCCAGTCTGACTGGCCCCTGTTCACCATGCGCCACAAGCGAAGAGAGGCACCAGTGAAGATCGAAGGGCCAAGCACCGGACTCTGATTGAGGTGCCAGCACCTGACCAGCAAGACTAGACTTGTGCCCAGCACTTTCACCTGATTTGCCAGTAAATCCTATCATCCTATCATATATGTTAGTTCCAGACTAGGCAGGTTAGGTTGTGTCCTTCTTGTCTTTTTTCCTCACGCGTGTCTCAGAATCTTTGACCTTTGGGGGCTCTGTCAAGTTTCCATTGATTCACATCATCTCACATCCACAATCAACAAGCCGGACGGGCCTTTTCATACCGCGCTCCGAACCACTTTTCTGCGTGCCTCTTGGTGTGTGGCCCCAAGATGTTTTTTTTTCAGGGGTAGAGGAAGTCAACATGAAGATGGGATGACATTTGAAGGTTTCACCTGCAGTGAGGGCACGCTTCATTGATGCATCATGTGAATTCATGCGATACTTGATGAGCTGGTTGGGCTGTTGGAAAGGTATGACAAGTCCCAAGGCCCTGAACTGACTAGTCAAAACTCACACAGGAAGCCTTTTGAAGCATCGCAACGCAACGTACTGCAATCCTGGTCCGCAAGCTGACCTGTCCACATTTATATACACTTATCACTTACTGTAGTCTAGTGGCACCTCGCTTGAGACCTCAAGACAAGATGATGAAACAAATCACTGTATTATATTGCTTTAAGGCTTTAAACCATTCATGTGTCCCAGTGGTTCCACGCACCAGTTCAACCGGTGCTTTAGTAACGTAGCACTTTCACCTGTCCTTTAGACGTGCTGGGTGTGGAACTGATTATAGGGCGTATCATTACCAGCAAGTTAAAAGAAAAAACGATTTGGGGGAAAGGCCTTTGCTTTCCATATCATCATTCACTGTTGCTGGTGATGGGATATGGGTTCGTATTTAAGTAGAGACCCCCCCAGCCAATGGGTTTGAGTCTATTTTCCTTCTTCCAGGGGTTCTTTGGGATCTCCCTAGCCGCCCTAACCCTGCCTAATGTGTTGCAGCAATTGCACACATATGCACGCATACCGTTTTGTTGATTTGAATGAGATACTGAGATACCCTATTTTTCTTTGTGTTACGTGCCTCCTTCTATCTGGCCTCATCAAACGTAATCCTTAATCCTAAGGGGGATTACGGATTACAAACTATCGGATTGTCCGGTTTGGGGCGGATTACGGATTAGAACTCAGAGCCCCCCGTTTTGAGACTAGGATTACGGATTAGAGCTTTGGATTGTTTGGAGTGTGCAGATCATTCCTATTGGCGAAACAACTCTGATTCTGGAGCACCTTCGGCTCCATTACCCCCAGCTAGCGCAATGGTTGTAAGGATCCCTATGGCCACAAACACCCTTCACAATCCCGATGGCCACAAAACACCCTTCACAATCCAGAGCCCCCCAATTGAGTGGTTTGAGTTGGTTGCTTCCAAATCGGGGCTGTGAGGATTCCTATGGCCACAAGCACCCTTCACAACCCCGATGGCCACAAACACCCTTCAATCCAGAATCCCCAATTCAGTGGCTTCCAAGTCGGGGTTGTGACCTACATTGGATTTATAAATCCAAGCCAACAGCCCCCCCATTCAGGAGTTTGGGTTCTTTCCTTGCTAACGCTTTTAAGGACTGCGGATTGTAAGGCTGGGTAAGGATTACGGCCTACTGCGGATTAAGGATTGTTCGGATTACAAGCATTTTTCGGATTAGCAGGATTGCGGATTAGTTTTGTAGGCGCGCTCATTTTGATGAGCCCAGTGTCTATGCTCTCCACCGCCCCCGCTAAAACTCCGCCCGGATGACTCGTCCTCCGAGGACGTTTTCGGGGCTCCCAATGCCATGCCTGAAGGCGACAGGGCAAAGCCGGAAATGGGCGGAAATGGATGTTGCCTTCACCGACCTGCCTGAAAAGGATCGAAAGGATCGAACTTAAATAGACCAGATCTACCGGGGTCAATCCATTGGTTGAGGGATGTCCCTATTGAAATATCACACCCAAATGTTTTCATGAGGCGACGCCCATGGAAGTCAATGGTTTGTGTTTTAAATCTTCAGTGGTGGTGTTTCTGTTGGGACGGACGCGCGCGAACTCAAACTCTAGACGGCTAGACGGCCGTGAAAGATGCTTCTGGGACCAGCTTGTCAACCAGGTGAGCTGTGCACGCAAGAAAGACCAGGGACAACGGCTCAGACCAAGCTTAAGATGTTTTTCCACTCAGACCCAGTCCCGCTCCACTTCCTCCATTTGCCGACCCTGTTCCTGCATTGTTTTTGGGGTGCTGCCACTGCTCAGGCGAGGCAGAGCCGGTGGAGGCCGGCTTTGGGGAGGCCTGGTTTTGGGATATTCCAAGAATCACACGTTCAAGGCGTACAAACTAAAGACCGCAAGATTCCGGGTTCCCCTGGTTGGCAGGTTCCTAGAGTGAAGCAATACAAGATCCAGCCAGATCCGTTCCCCTTGGCATCGGCGGTTCCCCTCATCCGTCGCCTTTGGATCAAGTGGCCTCCGAATTTGATCGCAGCCTGGTCCGCCATGCCAAAGAAAAAGAAGGTCCGGATCCGCTGCGATGTGAAGAAGTTGGAGATTAGATAGCGAACAACCGGACTGGTGAATTAAGACATCTCATGACTCATGGTGGTGTCGCTTGGTTCTTGATCTCAAGAAGGTCAGATATGCTATAATTAGTCATTTTCAGTGCAGACACTTGTTTGTAGTATGTTACTGTTGATTTATTTGTATAATTGAGTGTTCATTCCTTCAATGCCTCCCAGACTTGTGGCGGCTTTGGGTGCGTACGCACACAAGACACCTGGAACGTGCCAGATTTGAGTCTCTTGAGGTGCTATTAGTCAAGATCCACGACAGCATGAAGTGGATAACACCAAGTCAGATGGGCGGTGTCGGTCATCTCAACACGCGTGCTAGCTCGTGAATCGGGTTTTTGGTAGTCAATGTGCGCCGATGAGACATGTGAAGAAGAGGAATGGAATTCTCGTCAGATGAGGCATCTAAGGAAGGCAAGGCCAAGGAAGAGGAGGAAGAGGACTTGAGATGCTGACCTGCAGGGTATTTGTTCAAATCTTTCAAGTGATTTGTTTGATTCCAATTGTTCCAAACTCAAGAGACTCGCTTCGACATGAAGATTGGAAGCTGGGGAAACCGACGGCCGGGGTTTGACGTTCCTGGGGCTTGTGGGAGAGGAACCCGAAGATGAAGCAGAGGAGGAGGCTGACAAGGCCTGGGGCCTGGGGACAGCCTGGTTGATGAGCGGTAGTATATATAGTGGCGGACTAGCACCTAGATTTTTGTTAATGAGGAAACACTACTAGGAATCTAGGAAATTCCTAGAACTGTGAAACACATATTGATACAAAAACAATGCAGTTAGACGAAAACGAGCAAATAGGACTAACATTGCCACATCATTGCAAGATTGCATGAGTTTGCCACACATGAGAGCGTCGAATGCCTCGCAGCTTGCGGTGCTTGAGGGAAGAAAGGGTCTGAGGATTCTTACTTCTAACTGCATAATTCTTAATTCTACCTGCATAATAATTCCAACTGCCTAAAAACATCACCTTTATTCTATCTGCAGAACGGACACCCTAATTCTAACTGCATCCCTAGAAATTTGGGCCATTCTAAGTGCTAGTCTGCCACTATATATATATATATACACAGTACATAAACAGACGTCACAGGACATGCTGGACTTGGAAGAAACTATATATACTCAGGCTTATCCTCCTTCCAACAAGCATGGAAGTGCCCTGGAAAAACGGTTCTCCTCTACAAACAGGGGGTTTTCCACTTCCATGTTTGTTGGAGGCCAGGGGCAGGGAGCCAGGCATGTGCAGAAAGATTCCAAACCGCTGGACTCTTGATGGGTATGTGCGGATACGTATACATGTTTGTGGTTTTGGTTTGTGGGCAGTTTGGCATGGCAACACGAGGAAGCACCTACTGGAAAGATGATAGGGTAAAGGTTAGGCTTTGTGAGAAGAAACGTTGCCATCAAGCAGCCCATTTGTTGCAGCTTTGTTGTGAGAGAAAATCAGGTGGAGTGAGGGGGAACCTACCTGCTACTACTTCTGCTGCTACAATGTGCTTCCTGAAAGACAGATGTATTTGACATTGTCTGAATGGTGGGCGTTTTCCTGTCCAGTACTTCTCTGGTGAGAGCAGGAAGAGGCCGACGGCAAGGCCAAGGTCGAAAGCAAAGAGGATGCCAAAGGCACTGAGGTAGCCGAGGCAGAGTCAGTTGAATGACCTCATGTGACAGCAAAGCACGGAGTAGGTTCCAGATGGTTCCAGTGAATGAGCGTGGCTCGCATGTTTCAAACACAACGTGCCATGGCCAGTTCCATACCCCGTGGCAGGGCGACAAAGATGGAGGCTATCCCAAAGCTGAAGAGGAGCCCAGCAAGGCTCTTCCCAGATTCGGTGCTGCGTCACCTGCGTCACGCATGACATGTCTCGTGTGTGAACTCCAAAAGGGCCGGGTGGTTGAAACGAATCTTGTGGGCCTTCGTTCAAGCCCGGAGCGAAGGCTGCGGAGGCTGGGCCATTTGAAGCCCTTTGAAACGCCTTTGACTCGTTGCAGGTAGTGTGGTTGGAAGGGGTGGTGAGAGTTTCCTGGTGAAAAGCCAGATAAGGCACGCTCACGCCGGAAAAAAGACCGGGTGTAAACACCTGTGAGATCCTGTGAGCAAATCGGAGTCCTGGACCGGGTTGGATTTGGCCAAGCGATCGGTTCGCAGTCGCAGGCGCCAGCAGTGCCAGCAGTTCCACCACCCTTTAGAGTGGTTTTTAAGGTGCGATCCGCAACTAGACATGAGCAGTTGACAAGAGCAGAAGGGAGTGTGTTTCATGTTCGTGCATACTCAAACAATCTATCTCTTAATTTGTGTATGCATATATATATATAATGTATAATATATCCATATGTAACAACAAACGCCAACTTCATGTGGCTTGTGAGAGAATTTTCAGTTGGTGAGTTGCTATCACATAGCATGTCATCTCGACAGGCTTTGGGGCTCTATCTAGAAACTCCAGAAACACACAAGCTCAGCCAAATACGGCCGAACAGGATTGAACACCCGTTTCTGTCGGCCGTGGTGGTTGTCGAACCGACCGCTGTGCTCGACCAACGGTCGAGGCCCATGACTCCTATCCGCCCATGGAGACCGCCGTGGCAGTGACGCTCGGGCGTGTCTTCCACACACGTGGATGGGAGACGGGGATGGCTGGAGACGGGGCTGGAGACGCATGGCTCACAGTCACAGCTCCCCCTTCTTCAAGTTGCCTTCAGACAGCTGAGGACCTACTGCCCGCTGTGTTCTCTACCGCCAGATTTTTGCCAGCAACTTGCCACAGAAGTCAAGAGTGTTTGATCATAGCTGCTGTTCCCATGGGAACCGATCGTGAGTGGTCGACGTGAAGCAACACCACACTTCAGTTCTCATGTTATTTGGTCGGCCTTTATCCGAAATCGGGACTAATTTGAAGGCAAAGCATCCAAAGGGTTTGTCGGATCATACTGTCCGATGTGTGTACATTCCCTTCCTTATTTGTTGAGCCTTCAAGGTGAGCGTTGGGGCAGTGGTAGACAAGCACGTCCCACCAATCTGATATATGTTTTGCTGATTTACTGTGGTTGAGTGCATGTATGTGCTTCTTCCGCTGATAGCTGGAAGGAGAGAAATTCATGTCACAGTTGCGCTGAATGTGCTGACAATGTGGCACAGCGCAGCCAAGGTATGGACCATGCTGGGAAAAGTGCAAGCCTTGGTGTTTAGAGCCACTTGACCGCAGGCTGAGCATGCACTGTTGGCCCGACATGCAGTGGTGCCTGGCTCATCAGAACATTGGAATAGGGACTTGCAACTGATGCTGAGGTATTTCAAAATATGTAACACATGTTCAAACAAATTTGCCGAGAAGCCGAGAACTAGATACTTTTGAAAGCTTAGTGTTCTTGATCGTTCTTGGTCATGAGATGTCATGAGTCATTGTCCATTAACACGACCAAATGCCAAAGATCATAGTTAAGACACCCCTGAGACGCATTTGGATGGATGTCCAGGTGCTGCCCCGTTCCTCCACTGAGGAATGCCCCTCACTACTATCCCGAGTTGTCCGGCGTGTCGCTGGAGGATGCCAAGAAGAGGGCAGAGGCCGGCGATCAGCACTGGCTTTGATGGGCTCTCGATGCTTCCTGGGGAGTCAATGGTAATTTCATGTCCTGATTGGTATGAGACTAACTAACTATGACAGTCAGTGGATCTGAGCCAGGGCATGCTTCAAGATCAGAAGCATCCTGCTGTTTAGACCACGACATGATATATCATGTTTGGATCTCCCGGGTACACATGTTCCAGTCAAAGCCTGGAAAACCACTGGGTTTGGGGGATCAGATCCGTAAAAAGGCACAGTGACGTGGCCCCTGGGTCGTCCTACTGTACTACACCATGTTTTCCCACTTGAATGGCATCAGGAACTCGGTGAAAAGTCCAAAGAAAAGTTGCTGCCAGGTGGCAAAGTGAAGCGTTCCTTGCTGGCACAGCTTGTTAGGACATGATTTCCCAAGTTTGTTTGCAAGTTTAGCCTGCTAAAAGTCTTTGCCAGGAATAAAAGATGAACATCACTGCAAGACTAGCCCTCCAGCAGGGTTTAGACCAGTAATGACCCTGGTAGAAGTGTCAAGTTTACTTCCTGGTTTGCTTGAATGGATGCAGTTGTCACGTTTTTCAGCCTTCGAGCCATTCAATTTTGCAGAAACATATGCGTTGATGGGCCCAAATGCAGCTCAGCTCAAGCCCGTGCCACACTTAGGAGCAAAATCGCCACATGCACCTCAGCTCAAGTTTCAGATGCTCAAGTTCTAATCGTGAACTACACAGTGCCCTTTGGAATGCTGTATCGGCGGTGTGGACTCAAGATCGGCCTTTGGAGACGGGACTTGAGACGTTTGGAGACGTCTGGAGAAGACGTCTCGGTGGCTCGGCGACTCCAGGGTCCTGCAGCCCTCAAATCATCAACACCAGTGAGGCTTTCATGCTATCTCCCCAACTCGAGGTGGCAACAGCCCCAAGAATCTCTACATTTAGTAGAAGTAGATAGCTTTGTAGGAGCTCCTTCAGTAGACTTCACTATTGGATTCCAGCTAGAATGCTTTGCTTCTCAGCATCAGGTGACCATCCGAAAACTGAACCGCGGTGGCCGGAAATGCGCTCGGGAGCCGAGTGAATGTGGGAACGGTTCGGGGAGGAAGGGCTAAAGTGACTGGGGCGGAAAGAAACGGAATGACTCAGAATGACCGATGACAAGCTTAGGATTTTATCGAAAAAACGGTCGAAGGATTGGTTGCTGAAATTCTAGGCTGCTAGACCGCCAGTTTGAGTCTCGGCCGTACTTATTGTTGTCATTGTGAAGCAGAAGACCAAAGATGTGCTTAAGCATTCAACCTTGGCCTTACCTGGTTCAACACATGGAGACATGGTTGGAGGACTTGCTTGATCTCCACAAGACTTCTCGATTCGGTACTTCGATATCTAGATTGCCCAGCCATTCTTTGAGGTCACCAGCGTGGCTGGATTAGACACCTTCAGCATCAAGCTGGACGATGTGGCGCATCTTGTCCCAGTTGGAGTATCTCCTTCACGCATCCATCGACTGCTCGGTGTCTCGTTCGCTTCCGAGCTCGCAGCCTCCATCGACTGCGCAGTCGATGTAACAGTTTCGGATCGGAGACGAGGAAGCTCTTCAAGAAGAAGTTTGCCTGTGGTTGCGCTGTGGTGAAGGGAGAGAACACTCTCCCAGACACTGTGGACATCCAAGGCGCCCCATGCTGGCAGCATCACCCCTCCCAAGTGGTGAGGATGGGTGAGGTTTGGGGCGATGTGCAACTCTTCCACTGGGATTGCTGCAATTCCACACGGTCATTTTAGGATACACCAATTCAATGCGATTCATGAACATGATGGTTATGGGTAAAGGCGCCCATTAGCCGGGAACAAAGAGCAAGACTCCTAGAAAGCTGTAGCCAGAGCAAGCCCATGCCGGTTGCTAGAAAGAGAGTCCAATTTGGACTGCATCACTGTTGAATGTACCAGGGCTATCCTTGTGAATTTCCCAGGTGGTCGACATTGGATTTGCCGCGTAACCTAGAACTGTTTGTTGTTCATTGCCATATGCCCAGAGTTGCCGCACATCCTCAAATTTCCAAGAGGCCCTGTCCGTTTCCAGCGGCGTTTCTCTCGGGTGCAGGTGACTTTGAAGACGAAGTCATCGAGCCTTCGTGAAATTTGGGCGGATTGGGGGTGGTGCGTTCGGGTGCATTCCATGTGAATGACTTCGTGGCAAGTGGACACAGTTTGAAACAGGTGGCTTTCCACTTCCATGTGAATGACTCGGAGAGAAGGTAGAAATGCATTGGTCAAGAGTCTCCAAAGAAACAACATGGTGCTTGGCTTTTGGGAAGATTGAGAAGTGCACCATGGAACACTAGCAGCTGATGATGAGGGGCCTGATGTTGGAGGAAGCGAGATTGGTCAACATTGATGTCAGACTTCTGTGAACATACCCATGCAAAAGAGTGGTCTTTTAAACACATTCCTGGCATGCCGATGTTTTTTTAAGTCAAAGCATTCATGACTTTGCTATTTGGCTGCTGGGCTTGCTGGGCATTGCGGAGAGATTTAAACTTAACTCACATCAGATAAAGCTGCAGCTATAGCGCAGTCCCTTGATGTATGCTCCTTCACACGTCCGTGTCCACTTGCACCAGACCAGATGGGGTACCTGCGGGAGCTTTTTAGCCACGCCGTGAGAGGCCTCGCCCTCTACTCCATGCCCCATGACTGGAGTTTGACCAACACAGTCATTGCTTGTTAGCCTCGAATGTGTAATATCTTCGAGTCTCAGGCACAGAAACACGACCACCAGCGCGCTTGGCTGCCTGAGTTTGCTGTGATCAGGATATCATCACAGCTGAATGGAAACAAGTGCCGCCAGAGAAGATCAGCGTCCTGGATGCTGGGAATAAGAAGAAAGGCAAAGGCCGGGTCAGAGAATACTTTTTGTTTTTTTTTCTCCGCGACACGCTACACAAAGGCTAGCATCCTGAAGAACAGTGAACAACGTGCCGTTGTTTGGAGCATTTGCATATGCTGTTAGGCCAAGCAGGAACATTAATATACTAAGCAGGGACAATCGCCGTGCAGCGTTTGAAGCTGAAGCCAACTTGTGCTAGCTTGCCAGCCCCTAGCCTTACTTGTGAACCTAGTGCAAGTGGATCCTACAAACGTTGGTGCTCATGTTGCAGCAAGACTGGGAATGGATAAACAAGCAAGAGGAGCAATTGTTCACTGTAAATGTCCATATGCCACCCCAACATGGAGACAACTGAGACGACTGGGAGGGATCCAGGAGGGATCCAGCAGATCTCCAGATTAGTGCTGGATGGACAGAGGGCAAAGGAAGGAATTGGTGCGGTGAGGCGGCCAAAAGCTTGATTGGGGACCAGATTGGGAGTGCACTTTGCAGCCGCTTGCTCGCTGCCAGGAAAGTGATGGAAAGATGAAAATAAGAGTGCCAGTGCCAGTGCGGCCGGCTTGTGATGACGGCACGTGCAAACATGACGTAAAATACATGTGACTGCGCATTGCAGATATAACCTGAACGTATACAACGACTTTGCCATGTTCAACTGGAATGCCATTTGATAGGTATGTTTGCTCAGGGTCATCAACAAGGATTGTTTTGGCTTCACTGTGTTTGCTGGGCCCCAACGCACGAATCATTGGGCACACGGCCCCACGGCTTAGCAGCTTAGAGCATTCCAAGCGAAGAAGAGGACCGGAGGTGCCAGGCTGACAGGATTTGTGGAAAGCACGCGGAAGTTCAACATCACTTGCAGTTTCATTTTTGCATATTTTTGTTAAGCCTTGCATAATATCATATAACATCACCATTATGTGCTTACATGTGACTGAGAATTTCCGCACGACCAGACCATTTGAACATGTATGGCATTGTCACGCGTAGAACTCTTCAACTGCTACCCTGTTTATCCAGTGTTTTACCCTAGGTGCACACTATGAAAGCAGCTCCAACCTTTGCAGCTTAGCGGGTCAAAAGAGGTGTTTTTCCTCCCAACAGCAGCTAGCAGAGTTAGGTTTGGCACTGACCGTGCTCCCGGTCGCGCGGATGACTCCTGCGCAGATCTCTCGGACAGAGCCGGCTGCAGAGGACTCCACATCCTGCACGGGAATGGTTTCCATGTTTGTGTCCAATTTGCCTTACTTGGAAAGGACTATGGTGGAAGCTCATCAACCAAGTGGCAGTGGTCTCCCTAGGTGCTAGTGGTGTTCTTGTTGCCCATCGTTGTGAATTATTCAACACGTCATCTCTCATCGAGCAAGCAGGCATTGTTTAAATGAAATGAATCTATACATATAGGAACCAAATAGTGCGAGCGCTTCTTCAAAGAAGCTCCCCCCCTTTTATTGAAGAAGCGTGAGCTATCCTGCGTCCTAGCTAGTAGCAGGGTACCTTGTAGTTTGTTTAGCCCTTGATTAAGTAGGCGCCTACTTAATTAAGAACAACAACATGTGGTTATTTTGTTGGCATGTGTGCACCCAACGTTGGCCGGTTTGCACCAGCATGACATGCTGTTTGGATTTGGCGTCTCAGCCACTGGCCCAGAGAGACCTCGGAGGAGAAAAGGAGCGATGTGAGACTGAGCGCAGAACGGAGTTGCCATGAAATGTCGCATCAATTTGCCATCTAAGATACTTGCGGTAAGAATATCATGGAGTTTGGGACAGTTTGGGACCACCTCAGGATGCCAGGATTTGGTCAAAAGATAGAAAGCGCCAGGGATACTTATCCATCCGCTGAAGAACTAAGTAACCACTGGCGGACGAGACTTGTTGCACCTCCCTTTTCAAATGGTTTACATCAGAGCAGATGTGCACAGCACTTGTATCGAAGTTCGTTGCTGGGCGCTTTGATCAGCTTGAGCTTAACACCGGGGAGTTTATAGCCGATGGCCTTTTCCGGGGTTGTGTTTGGTTCTTTGTGTGTGTATTTGTTTGTTTGTTTCTTTGTTTCTTTTTCTCTATATATATTATGTAAATGGCAGTGTATATGGCCTATCCTACATTCAGCTAGGTCGTTTGGGGATCGGCGGCTCCTGTCATGCCGAAACGCACGGTGGCACGAGCCATGCCCTGCCCCCAGGCCGAGCGGGATGGCCTGGCACGCACGCTGCTTGCTCAGAGGTGGATAGACCGGCCACGGCCGCGGGGTGACCATAGAAGCCAAGCTCTGCAACAGAGTAAATGTTGATCAAATATCAAGTTTCTACTTGATCATTTTTGTACCATTCTGGTTTACTGTTGTTTTTCATTCAGATGGTTTTGTCGTTTTGTCCTCCGATCAAGGTTGATGTGTACACCGTTCAACGTGCACGCACACACCACTTATACACCTGAAAGGCAGTGCATCCAAGTGGCGGAGTGCAAAGAATTGTGTGCTGTGTCGTGACGGCCCAAGGATCAGCAAAGGTATGCAACGCCAGATGCTGGCTGCCTATGCACAGGACAGGTGCTGTTTCAAATCTTTTGGCTGACAGAAACCATGAAGGCCAAGTGCCCTCCATAGACAGCTGACTGAGAGCAGCAGTGGAAGTCCAGGCGACAAACGACTTGTGCAGGCTGGCATGCGTCCCAAGACCCCTCCAGCATCAGCGCAGCCACCAAGGCAATCGGGTCGGGCTTGGTCGAAGAAACGAAGAAAATACTTCAAGGCCCGAACGATATCGGAAACTCGACCTGTCATTTGTCAATCATGAGCCAACATTTGGATATGATTGCATATTTTGACATGTATACACCCTCCGACTCACTAACATGGAAGTGGAACACCGCCTATTTGTTTGTCTTTGGAGTTCATGGTCTTCCCAGAACACCAGAACGTCCATTTCCATGTGACGTGGAGTGTTCGTCGGAGTGTTTGGAGGCCTGTTGGCATCCGAAGCCGCAAAGGTGGACGGAAATCCTGCACCACCATCCTGCATGACAAAACATTGAATAGGGATGCGGGGCTGCTGGTCGTCAGCTTTGGATGAAGGCTGTATCAAAGTGGTGCAGGATTTCTTCCGCCCACCGCAGGTCCTTCAGACCTGAAGGTCTGGAGCTCATGAGCCATGCCTCTCGGCTAGCTGACTCAGGCCTTCAGACCTCCAGGTCGAACGGCGCATGGACGATGAGGCGGGGTTCATGGCGGGACCTCGGTGCCTTCCTGGGATTTTCTATGTGGCCTAAGATGTCGAGGTTCAAACTACTTGGAGTTTGCTCAAGTTACAGTGGTTTCAGAGGCTCGATGGGGCATACCCACCCCTAATGTGGTTTCAGAGGCTCGATGGGGCATACCCACCCCTAATGT